ATTTATCCCTATCAGGAAATTATGCACTAAATAGGTTAAGATTCTTATGACCCAATTATTTCACCTCTAAACTTTCTTGCATTGACTCACACATGCATTTTTTGGGGGGAGGGGGTGATTTAACATCAAAACCATAACACCTGACCTACTACCTTATATAGCAATTAAAGGCTGTACTCTCTCAACAGTTTATTGCCTCAGATTTAACAAACACATAGGTATACATTTGTTACAGAGAATTGACTTGAAACCGTGGGTTTGGTTAAACCACCTCTTTAGTTATAGGTCCAGTTACTATTTCACACCCACAGGGAAAATCTTTAGATCACACTGTGTGAGCCTCGAGAGGCCAGTGTTCCTTCTACACTTCTCATCTCCTCAGAGCCTTCCTCGTGACCCACCCTACCCAACACCTGCCAAAAGGAAATTTTGGGAAATGTAGCTCGGCTGAGTCAAATTGTCGCATTATAAAGCCTCCATAGTAACATCACGGTTTCTCTTTCTTTGAACAATTGAACAGTTCAAATTGAACAGTTTTGCAAATACTGAGCAGCCCGTGGAACTAAAGATTACGGCTCTGAGAGCTTCAACTGGAGGCAAAGCCTGCTAAACAGGTATAGTTTATTGGAGCTGTTCCCAGCCTCTATTTTTAGATGAACTTACCATTTTATTGATGCTCAAGCCATCCCTGATAGTTAATTCACTTTTAAAAAACCTTTTTCTCAGGGAAGGTGCTGACACTGTTCATAAGCACTTTTCAATTGCTGAAGGTGGACGCTCTCTCGGCTGGGGGTGCTCACTTTTTAACCAACTCCCCCCACTCCCCCCCCCCGACATCAGAGGCATGGGTCACAGAGGACCACAGAGGCATGGTCTTTGGGAAACACACCTGGTGACAGTGTTTCCCAAAGAGTGAGACAGGTGTCTTGGAGGTATGTGAAAAGATTTCGGGGCAATATGTGGACTTGTTTATTGTAATAGATGTCCTTTCAATGTGTGTTAGGAAACATATGGAGTTATAACAAAACAAGGGGCGTGATTTGAAGTTTTCTTTTCCAATGAATATGGTTATGTTTTTTAAAAAAGTGAATATTTTAAAAATCACTAAGTAAATAATAGTGAATCGATGTTTAAAGAAACTGTTAAGTAAGATGGTTTACCCATATGTCACAAATGATGAAGAAGGAATTAACTATTGAACTTTGAGGAGATTCTCACAGGTGGAGGAGTTTAAAGTCCTGGGGTTTAGGACAATCCAGTCAGAATCCTGAATTCTAAGAGGCAGCGAGTAGAGTTCTCTCCTCTGAACCTGATCTTTTTGACTTTCCAAAAACTCAGGGAGTAAAAGCAGGATGCCCCCCCACCCTCACCCCCACTTGTACTTCAGCCTCCTCCCTGACTCCCTGTACAGGGAAAATCCAAGACAAGTTCTCCTTCTCTCAATTTCCTAGGCAGCTCTTAAGATTTTGAAATGTCTTTGTTCTAAGGCTGTAGAAATGCCAAAAAGAAGTCCTGCCAAAAAGGGTGTGTGCTCTTTGGCTTTGGCCCCGCTGCTGATGTACTTTAAGGACAATCTTGGCTGGTAGGCTTTCGGGGAGACCAAAGACAGGCTCTCAGTGACATTCGTTCCTATGGCTTAGTCATTCGGGCCATCATTCCTAGTTTTCTGTTTGTCTCTAGAATCCTGCCTTCCTGAGAAGCTTGGGGGTAGGGGACGTCTTGGTGCCCTGGAGGTTTAACTGAAGCCAGCTGCCCCATCCTGCTTCTGCTACAGGAGTAGCCAGACCAGCCTCCCCTGCCAACCTAGTGAAGCACTTTTCTGGTAAAATCTACCATGCTTCAATACAGGTCTTGTTATTGTTGATGCTCACACAGTGGTGCCCAGAGTTTTGGCTTCACGGGTTAATGACCAGAGAAGATGGCAATCACATCCAAGTCGGGTCCTGTCCCATTTCTAAAAGATCACTTGCTTCTTAAAAAAAAAAAAATTGTAATACAGAAAGTAGACTAGAAGCAACTAGTTAGGATGAGTTAGGTTGGGTTTCGTGAGTGTGTGTGTATGTGTGTGCGTGTGTGTGTTTGTGTGTGTGTGTTTGTGTGTAGGGGCGAGTAGGTGGGGAGGAGAAAGATGGGAGGCTTGAGAAGCTGGACCTTGTGATAGACCTGAAAGAGAAAATTTAGCCTCTCCAAATTTACTGTGGACTCAAATCTTATGATCATTTGGTTCTTAACTAAGACTAAGAGGTTTTAAAATTCTAGTAGTTACTAGCGCCCAAAGCTTGCTGGTACAAGGGTGTGACTTGCTGTGACCCACTTCTAGGTTTTTCCCAGCTTCAGGCTCATCCAGAAATCCACGGCCATTGTTCCCCCAGGGTCTGTGCTCCGTTCCACCCAGCCCCACCCCCACAGACCAGGGAAGGAGCCAGAGAGCATCCCGTGCCTGAATCCACCTGGTCTAGGTTCATCCCTTAGCCAGTGTACAAGTTCTTCCTGCCTATGGGCAATTTGGCAGCCACATAAATCATGAGGATTATTAAATGTAGCATTGGGAGACCTTTGGTGCCAGATCTGTGTGTTTCAGCCTTCGACTTTTAAAGAAGATTCACCTTTCTGCTCAAATTTTATTGGCACGATTAAATGATGGTGGGAGCCCAGAGGGAAATTCTATCCCTATTAAAATCAATTTAGAATAGTCTGAGACATAAATTCCAGGACACCTATTTCAACACGACTAAATCCATATTTAGATCTTTTGAAATAATGTACATAGACTTTAAAGGGAGTTTCCACCAAATGGATATAAAGTCCTGATTTTTAATCACTAACAAATCTCTCCACACTTGTAGGAACTGATACTGGGCAAGGATCTAGAGAACCCGGTAGCAAAACAGCATCATTATCCGCCCAGGATTCCCTGCAGCTCATTTATGAAACAAGTCCTATTTCTCACTGTGCTTGTCTAAAGAGTTACACTTCTTAAAAAAGCCAGCACCCAATATCTGTGTGCATTTGGTAATTGGAAGCATTTAGGCATTGCGTGATTAGACTCATGATATTTAGAACCAAGTGAACTCATCAGTGTATTCCATTCCCCTGGACCAATTTAAAGGTAACCACTAGGTTGAACACAACTTTCAAATAGCAGAGAATTTTAAAAACAACACTGCAAAGGGAATTCTTAAGGCACACAATCAAACCTGACTTCACATACCCTGTAGCATACACGCCTCCGAGAGCTGCTTATTTGGGGAAGGAAATATTCACATTTGTATGAGATTCTGAGGTAGACGTCAGTTAGCAAAAAAAAAAAAAAAAAGCCTAATTGATTAGATATTTGCATTTGAATCATTTGTATTTGATTCATTATCATGGTAGTGATGTCATGGTAAAAATTACATAAGAAATTAAAAATTACTTTTGGTCCATCTTTTTAAAATGAAGATTACATCAGCCTCTCTCCTGCTTGATAGGAAGTCCTACTTTGCAATGTGCTTTTCCACCAACCATTAGGGTATTTGTTTTTGCCGATTTCCAGATCCGTTTTATTACAAAAGCTATTAAAAAATGTAGCTATTGTTCATTTTAGGAGGTGTTGATTCTGATTCATGTATAACACGTTTTTCAAAATGTGATGTAGCAACAGCTTTTTTAGTATCTTTTTGAAAATCTCTCATTAAAAAAAAAAAAAAAGAATCATCCTGGCTCTCTTCAGCTTGTGTGCCAGGAGGCTGCTTTCCTATCAGCCTTCCCCAATATGTTATTTGCCAGTAAAATTCTGAGACCAGAGTATTTTAGTTTTGGATTTTTCCATGGACCAGACAGTCCTTTACAAAATAAAGGCAGAATAGGAAGAATTTGAGGAGCAGAGGAAGGTTTCCATGTTTGAGTCTATCTCTAAGTTTTAAGTTCTACATTATAGTCATACATTTACATATATCCAGTGCTAGGAGGGACATATATTTTTTTAAAAAATTATGCTTTTTAGATAGACATGGCAGTACAGTGTATTTTGACATATAATAAATACATGGGGTATAGCTTATTCTAATTAGAATCTCATTCTTATGGCTGGACATGATGCGGAGTTATACTGGTCACGTCTTCATATATGAACATAGGAAAGTCATGTCTGATTCATTCTATTGTCTTTCCCATTCCCATCTCCTCTCCTTTCTCTTCATTCCCTTTGTCTAATCCAATGAACTTCTACTCTCCCCCATCCCTTGTTATTGTGTGTTAGCATCTGCATATCAGGGAGAACATTCAGCCTTTAGTTTTTGAGAGGATTGGCTTATTTCACTTAGCAGGATAGTCTCCAGTTCCATCTATTAACCAGCCAATGCCACAATTTTATCCTTTTTATGGCTAAGTAATATTTAATTGTGTGTGTGTATACACATATATGTATGTGTGTGTTTGTGTGTGTGTGTGTTGTATGTGTGTGTGTTTGTGTGTGTGTGTGTGTGTGTGTATAGGGAATTATAGGCAGTATGTTGGGGTGCTGGGGAGAGCCAGAAAGAACAAGAGATGACCAATTCATGACTTCCTTAACATTCTCTAAGTGTGTTTAATCATTATGGTTGATTTTATGTGTCAACTTGACTGGATTAAAGGATACAAAGACAGAAATAAATAATTATTTCTGGTTATATTCTGAGGGTGTTTCTAGAAGAGATTAGCATTTGAATCAGTAGACTGAAGAAAGAAGATCCATCCTCCCTGATGTGGGTAGGTATTATCCTTCTCTCCTTTGGAAGTGGGATGTCTATCTTCTCCTCCCTTCAAACATAGAACTCCAAGTTCTCAGACCTTCAGACATTGGTATTAACAGTCCTTCCTACTGACTCACCCGCTACCAACCCCTCCCTAGTTCTTAGGCTGCAGACCCAGACTGCATGACCCAGCAGCTCCCCGGTTCTCCAGCCTGCAGATGAAGGATAATGGGACTTCTCGTCCTCCCCCATCATGGGCATCCACTCTTATCATAAATTCCCTCTTACCTATTGATACATCCCCCTTGGTCCACTCCTCTTGAGAACTCAGACTGATATATCTTCGATCTCAATGTCATAATTTTTTTTTTTTTTAGGTCAGGAATATATAAACAGAAGACTTGATTGGAGTAGAACTGGCCTTCCAGAGACCCAGATTGCTAACTGCCAGAAAAGAATAGAAAAGCGATATTATCCAGTATTCTAAAAAGTCACTTTGCCGGGCATTTTTCTTAATGTGCCTTTGGTATTTTGGGGCATTGATATATGAAGAGCCTGCAATATGTTAAAGACTTCACTTTGTTCCACTGCGTTTACAGTTTTTAGTTAGTGCAACATTTGGTCAATAAACTTCATCCTTAAAAGGTCAGTGAGATACATCCTAAAGCAGGTAAATTCATTTTACTGTGTGATTTGGCCTAAGAATGTGTCCCTCTGATCTGCCTGAGTAAATGGGCTGAAGGGGTGGGGAAAGGGATAGTCTCTGAGACGGGGGAGGATTCTAGAAACCTGGGGAAACAGGACTGAACAAAGGAGAGAGGAGCACAGGAGAAAGCAATTACTATCCTAAGTTAACTTCCCCTTCCTAAAATACTTAAAATTCTGTCATCACTGTGATAATTGTTTGTAAAGTAACACCAAAATCAAATCAATAAAATTCCACTCCTTGCTGTGGCCTCCGGGGCCCACCCCGGTCTGTCTGGCCCCTTAGATTCCCTTAGTGCTTTCTGTACTCTTTACTTGTGAGATGCTGCTTCCGGTTTTTCATTGTTTTTAAAATTTCATTCCAAATTGTCTCATCCTTAGACAGGCCCTCCCAGGCATTCCATCCAGCCCCTTCCAATCTAAGTAGCCTTCTTTCCATTTTCTGATCACTCCCACTTCCTTGATTTTATTTTCTTCATAATATTTAGAACTATCTGAATGTATTTTTTCTTTCATTGTGAGCATGGGTTTTGTCCATCTCATTTACCACCCTCTCTTCAGTCCCAGTAGCGTCTTTGTTGAATGAATGAAATCGTGAATGAATATCTGATCAATATATTTTGTGAAATGATTTATAGAATGCTATTTGCATTCATTTTATTAATTAATCCTGCAATTAAATCTGTGAAATAAATACTGCTGTTTTCTTCATTTTATATAGGAGGAATTGGAGGATTATAAAAGTGGGTGTCTTGTCCAATACCCTGGAACCCTGGATTTGGACTCAGGTCTTTTTAAAAATAAGTGTGTGTGTTTGTGTGTGTGTGTGTGTGTGTGTGTGTGTGTTTATGCATGTTATGTGCCAAGAGTTATACTTGGAAGCCACTGAAAAGATTTTAAGCAGAAGAGTAACATGATAACATGATGATTTTGACTTTAGAGAATAAAGCATGACTTTGTTTTGCTCCCAATAGAGCATTCATATGTGTTCTGCCAGATCTTTCTTCCCCAACAGTTGACAATACCTCCAGAAGATGCTGTAGAAACTTTTCCACTCCAACAGCAGTCTTATTTTGACAACTGACTCATTTGCAGATATTAACAGGTCCTGGAGAGTAAAAATGTCATCTCACATTCAGTCCATACCTTCCGTTCCCCCAGCTCAGGACGGATGAGCCTCCAGGTTGGAGTTTACCCTATCATTCCTATTTCTTGCTCCTTGAGAATAGAATTTGAAGAAAGGAGAAATTAAAGGAAAAGGGGGAAATATCCTTTTATGGATACATTATCAGATTTCTTTGGAAGGCTCCGCAAAATCTCTCTACTCCACACTACACTAACAAGGGTGATGCATTCTACAAGTTTCCTTTGGTGACACCTCTCCAGCTCTTGCCTCTGAAAATGCACCTCTAGTCCCTTAAAGATAGCTAGAATCTAGCTTCTTTCCCTGTCATCTATTTTCCCAAAGAAATACGTGCGCCTTAGCTGGGAGCTCAGTCTGGTCCACTGTTCCCTCTCTCCCCCGGCCTGAGTCACCTTCAGACTCCAAGAGAAATGTATCTGCCTTTATCTTCACATAGACTGGCAAACTCCAGGGAATGAAAGTCAAGTTCTTCCCGGAACTTTTCTATTGTGCTCTGCTTTGGGTCCCTGGGACAGGCCTCCCAGTCACCAATACGTGGTAAACATCAGACTGGGACTGAGTGGTCAGTACCCTTCTTGGCAGGCACTTTAGTCTTCGTGAAAATTCTCTTCAAATGCACATCCCTTGGCTTGGGGGACAGTCCCCTTACTCATCCCTATGTGGAAGAGAAGAAAAAAACCAAAGCACTTTCCTTCACCCTGGGCCTCAGTGCCCCTCTTTCCTTAATAACTTAGTGAGCTCTAGTCTTTGGCATAGATGTGTTGGACACAGTCATCAGGGGTTAGAGATGAAGGGCACACTTGGCCACTTCTCAGCAAGCCCCAGAAGGGGGTGACTGGGAGCTCTGAGTCTCTTCAGAATGACTTCATTGTTCTCAGCAATCACACTCCAAAGTTCCAACAGGAGCAGAATCTCTATGGTACAGCATGTTTCACCTTGTATAAAAATCACCATGATTAACAGCATGAGGATGAGACGGGAGATGTGGATTCCAGATTATAATTAAGGTGAGAAATAAATGAGGTCTGAACTAAAGTTATAGTGATGGGGAATGGAGGGAATGGAGAGGAGGAGATGGCTCTGTGAACCTTTCACTCAGGTTTTTGGTCTGGGTGAGTGATCATGCTGTTCACAAAGACAGAATATTGAGAGAGAAGAACAGGCTTCTGGGAAACGTGGTGAGTTGTCTTGAGTGTGTTAAGCTTGATATCTGTGCATATCTGGATAAGGAAGTCCAGTAGACAGTCACGTAGAAAGCATGAGGCTCAAGAGAAGGGTCTGACTTGGAACTTTGGATGGGAACATACTCAGAATTCAGATTGCTCCTGATGCCATAGGAGAGCCTGTAACATGAGAAGGGAAGAGAAAGCCGAGCGCCCGTGTTGAAGGACTGGGTGGGTTTGCACAGGTTACTGAGGAGGGGCCTGAAAGGTGGGAGGAAATGTTTTCTGAAGGAATATTAAATATTTGTGTAAATGTCACCGACTGGCCTAAATTGTGCCACTTCTCCATCTTTCTCTTGAGCTGCTCTCCTTATCTGCCTTCTAAAATTAACTTTCTTCTTGATGAGCTTTTTCATAGAGCCCCAAAAATGAAAGTGTTCTTCTCCCTTCTGGGGCTTATACAGCTTCCCCGAACTGCAGGCTCCTCCACAAAGCCTTCTAGGTTGACAGATAACTAATTCAAGGAAGGTTCTTTCCATTTCTCAGGTGGCCTGCCAGCTCCTCCTGTGGTGGGAGAGGTGCCACAGCTCGGCTGTGGGTGGGGCCTTGTCTTCTCTCAGGGTTTGTAGCTGTCCTTTCCTAGCTGTTCTGTTTCTTTCTCCAGCATCTGAAACTCTCCGATGTTCCAAAATGCTGTGTGTGCCTTTAGTGGCCCTCAGATCTGACAAGCAAATAGAACCTGTCAGGCCCGGCTGATATTGGCATAAAAGGAAGACAATTTTGAGGTGGCACATGTGACACTTTGTCAGGGGCCTCCTGATTCTCATCTTCAGAAACAATTGTT